TGTCTAATTTTTGTAATATTATGTAAATGAAAGAAGGCAGTCCTAGAGATCTGCTTTATGTGGGAATTAAATGACAAGTCCTGATCAAAGATAACTCCAAGATTCCTAACAGTGGCACTAGAGGCCAAGGTAATCTTATAAAAATATCCAAAAACATTTTACTCTTTATGCCACAGGAGACACACTGATGATGCTGGATGCTGAGTCAGCGGTTGCCAGGTAATGGCTGACATGTGACGCTGCAGCTAAACCAGCGTGATGAATAAAAGTGTCTGTTGTTTCTGTTCTGGTCCGGGATGGAGGGCGGCTCATGGTGCACAAGGTAATGCTAACAAAGACACCTTACTCTATCCTCTGCAGCTGGAAATAGCATTTTTATAAATGTAATTTAACAATATTTGGCTGCAGCAGAAACATGAATGTCTCCTTCCTTTGCTCAAGCATTTTACACAGTTACTGAAAGGATAGACTTACTATGTGGAAAAGTTAAGAAGCGTTTACATTTGCACTCTATACTTGCTATTTTCAAGTTACTCTTATTAGGCTGGTGACTCGTCCACATTTGAGGACTGTTTCTTAAATGTTTCTTAACTAGTCTGTAACTGCTGCAGGTCTGCACTGATCTGAACAATCTCTGTTTTTCCCAAATTTAAAATATAACTGGAAATAATTGTGAGACTGAAGGTGATGGGGTTTTCACCCTCAGGTCTGAATTCACCACCTGAAGAACTGAGGCTGTTTCCATCTTGTCTTATCTGTTAACAATTATTATTGTTATTGATTTTTCTATTATATTATTGTTTAGTATTTTATTTTCCTATTATTTTAATTTTGATTGATTGATGTTCTTTTCTTTATTGCAGTCCTGAAACGCTTTAATCTGGGTTCAACCACATAAAGCAACTTTGTTTTGAAAAGTGCTGTGTGTATATATATATGATATATTTTATTATTATTATTATTATTATTATTATTATTATTTTGTGGACAGAAACTGCTGTGGCACTAAAAACAGAGTCAACAGACTTCTGTGACTTATACTTTGTGTATTTTAAAGTGGGGTTGTACCCAGTAGTTAATTTCACTTTTCATCACGTTACTGGGAATAAAAGTCAAAGGGAGCAGATACTAGATACTTATACTAAGGAGGCAGCTCACTGAGCAGTAATGCTTTGAATCTGTAAGTGCAGGATAAAGTCCTTAGTGTCGATTATTGTTGTTATGCAGTTGCACCGTTATTGTGACACCTGTGGTTTAATACTACAGGGCACATCATTCTGAGTTTGCAGCTCTTCCTCTAACAGCTCACCAGTCGAACAGTCCTTCTCTGGTACTGCCTGATTTTTCACTGTAGGTAATACACTGAATGTGGAGAGGTACCTCATACAACCCCACTTCAAAATAGCTGAATTGTCCCTTTAACTGATTGCAGAAACACTGATTTCTACTAACACCGATGTATTAGTGTATATGTGTGTTTGTATTAGATTGAAAATAACGTCTGGCTAATACCCGATCTGCTTAATAATGTCGGTATCAGCCCTGATACCAATCTCGTGGATCAGATCGATGACTCTGTGCAGTGCAGCTGTCGTTCAAGCAAGAATTTATTTATATTATCACATCATTGGCTGTCCACACCAAGAATGATAATAACTGTAAATGTAACTTTTTAAAAGTCGTTCTAACCAGCCACAATATTACAATATGGATCACCTTCAGATCGATTTGATGAACATTACATACATTGTGGTATACAACTTATTTAACCCGTATATAACATAATAGGCTGAAAAGACCAATAGTTTTAGCACTGAACCAATCAGCACTCTGAGGTTCATCAGAAGTTACCTGAAGTTCTTACTGACGATGTTGGATTCTACTAACTCCCCTCATCTTTGAAGAACTTTGTAAATTTGTATCCAACGTACAGCAGCAACAGCTCATCAATATACACTTTCCTATAAAGCTGCTGACACAGCTGAAGTGCACAGCATGTTGGGGCCACTGTTTACAAAAGGTATAATTCCCAATCAGGTGTCCATTGTCAGGAATTAAAAGACGATGAGGGGACCACAACCGTCAGACTTGAAGGGCATTATCTTGCTGATACCATGGTCACTTGCCAAAGAAAACATGCATTTTGCAATCATGTTTTAAGCTTTTTAAAAGCCAAAAACCTCATAATACCTGAGGGTATGATTAATACCTGAAACAATCAACACCATCCCAAAAGGTTCTAATGTAATGAAACATTGTTCATTACTACAGTAAACAGAACAAACCATAGATACGACTTAGCAACAGGAAATATTTCTAGTTCCCTCAGCTCAATAGAACGGTTTAGCTCAACTACGAGCCAGAAAGCTAACGTTATCCTAGCAAGATTCATATATAATATAATTGAACAGTATGTTCAACAACAGCTATTAGCCATATCATTGACACCAAATCAATATCAAGATTTCCATGAACAAATGATAGGGCATGTGTAACTTATGGTCTGTGTCCACAGGAGCCTTTTTTAGTCACATTACTAAATATGTAAACAATTTAAAAGAGAAATATGCCATGCAGTGAGTTTCCAGAGGTGGCGAGTCGGGCTAAAGTACCCAACACCTCTACTTTATGCAAATGAGGAGCCGCCAACGTGGCGCCCCATCTCTCGAAACGCACTATGGCGCTACCAGAATGCATTGCACAGCTTCTCACATAGACAATGAATGTAAAGTGTGGAAATGACTGATCCTGTGGACACATACGTTTACTGTCGCTGAAGCCAGAACGAGATCTCATATAAAGTTGGTGTGGACACATTTTCCTAATCTCAGAACTTATTCATTTTTACACAGATATGGAAAACCGGACTTTAGGTGAGGATATCATACACCTAGAAGGGTTGAAAGTCTCCTCCCAGTTCTCCATTCCAACCTTCATCCTCCTCCTCCTCATCTATACCTTCGCTGTGGTGTCAAACATCAGTTTGGTATCACTGATCTTTACAAGCAGGAGCCTCCATCAGCCCATGTACCTGCTCTTCTGCAACATGAGTATTAATGACATTTTTGGGGCCACAATTGTCACACCGCACATACTGAGAGACATTTTCATACCACAGCCAGAGCGTTACATCCGTTATATTGACTGTGCCTTTCAGGCCTTCTGTGTTCACCTCTATGCAGGCGCCACTCACACTGTGCTCATGATCATGGCCTTTGACCGCTACATGGCCATCTGCAATCCCCTGCGATACGCCACCATCATGACCAACAAAATGGTGGTGAAGCTGTCAATGGGGGCCTGGACGACAGCCTTAGTCCTAGTAGCGATCCTCTTGGGCCTCACTATTCGCCTGTCGCGCTGCAGGCGGGTTATACTCAACCCGTTCTGTGACAACGCCTCCTTGTTCAAGCTGTCCTGTGAAAGCGTCCTCATCAATAACATCTACGGCCTCGGATACACAGTGGTCCTGCTGGGCTCCTCCATCGGCAGCGTAACGCTCACCTACCTGAAGATCGCCGCAGTGTGCGTGCTCAATAAGAACAAGGCTCTGAACAACAAAGCGCTGCAGACCTGCTCCACACACCTGGCTGTGTACATCTTCCTGCTGGCATCGGCCTTCATCATCGTCATCCTGCACCGTTTCCCTCAGATGTCAGACATCAGGAAAGTGGTTTCTGTCTTATGTGAAGTGACTCTACCTGCATTCAATGCCATTATCTATGGGCTGCAAATTAAAGAGATCAAGCAGCGGATTATCGCTGTGTTTTACAACAGGAAAGTAGTTCAAATAAAATAAAATGATGAGGTAGAATATGGCACTAAGCACCTCCTGTATCTGTCAGCTCTTCAGCGACAGAATCCATTCACATGTTAACAAGGCTTTTATTGTATGGTATTTATCAAAAGCAAACTCAGTATAGAGAGATTGTCCGGTAAAAACACTACACGTGCCAGACATAGCTTTTCAGCGCTGTGGCCGTCACGCGCTGGTAGGCAGTGTGAACCAAGGGTCATGGTGCATGGACCACACTGTGAAAATCTCAGGTTAATCAGATCAAGGCTTACTTTCAATTCCCCAGGAGGAGTTCGTTAGATAGATAGATAGATAGATAGATAGATAGATAGATAGATAGATAGATAGATAGATAGATAGAATAGATAGATAGATTATTTATTAATCCCCGAAGGGAAAT